TGGACTCTTTGGTTCAGACTTAGAAGCGTGACAATTTGAGAGTCCGAACTGTAGTGAGCCCAATATCGAACGGAACGGGGGACTCATCCCTCCCGGGGCGTTCGGGGACGTCTACAACTGCTATTTTAAAATGTTTAGGCTTCTCTCTCTTTAAAAAGAGTCAAATTTTATTTTTGGAATTTTTCAAACAAAAAAAAGACTTCTAAAAAAACTTAAACTTATTTTAAAAATTTGTTTTAATAATTTTATAAGAGTATTACTCCTTGGAGTAAATAAGATACTGTGTAGTATACTTTTTTGAAAAAGGCATTTGCAATTATATAGATAATACAAAAGGTATTTGTAATTTTCCAGTTACAGTGTGGTGAGCCCTTTTATAAATTTTTATTGTAGTTTTTTTACTTTTTTTGTTTTCACATTTTAAAATGCAAATTTAGTAATTAAATTTCTGTAATTAAGTTTTGCTAAAATTTTATTCATTAGTATAATTTATATTTTTTTATAATTTACTTAGTTGTTAGTAGGAAAAATGGGCAATACAATCCATAAGAATTAACCTTTGTCAGTGCAAAGTTACTATATAGAATCAACCACAAAATCATGTATTGCAATAGTTCTACATTTTGGCCAATAGAGAAAAATTATGAAGATTTCTATAAGAGTATTTAATTTTTCTTCTATCCTTTTTAATGTATATTGAAAACATAAAAAAAATTATAATTTTTCTTCTATCCTATAGTAGGTCAATTTCTCCATCTGTAATATTCATGCACAAACGAACTTCTTAAACTAGGTTGTTAACTATAATATGTTAGGAGGTTGTTAATTTTGTAGCGACTAATTTTTCTTTATGGCAATTATTAAACCTCATTTTGCCTTCATATAGTTATCTTTGTCAAATTTACATAATCAAACACTTTCAGGTTGAGACACCATTGACCTTCAACCGCTGATTATGGACAACATTACTATTTTTGGTCACGTAAGTTGTTTTCTTTTTTATTTATTTGAAAAAAAAAACATTTTTCTTATAAGCAAAATTCAATTTTCTTTTCTTTTCATAATTTTTTATCTAATTCCTTATAACAAAATGCTCTTTTCTCATAATTTACAGATAGATGGAGACATATGCCGAACTGTAATATCGACTCCTTTTACTCATTTTCTTAGTTGTATAAATTTTTTATTTTTTTTTACCTCTAATTATTTTGTATTTATAGGTTCAGTGTCTTCAAGAAAGAAATGTTAATATTGTCATCCGCAATTAACGTGACCTTAATGTCATCCAGGGTTCAAGAGGTCGGCCCAATTTAATTATATAGATTTTTTTTATTCAAAACACCGTATACACGGTATATTCTTATTTATATATTTTTTAAAAACTTTCTACATATATATATTTTCTTTATTCTTTAAAAATTTTCTTTATTTTTTGTAGGCAAAAGAAAAGGAAATTGCCAAGGCATTGTTGAAGAAAAACGAAAAGACCAAACAGTTTCATATAAATTTGTGAAATGTTTTTTTTGAAGCATGCTAAAATAACATTTGTACAAAAACATTATATTTGTTTTAAATTATTATTATTCTTTTTTGGCTTTTTGCTATTGACATGAACATCTATAAGAGAATAAAAAAGGAATAGAACAAAAAATGAATGAGGGGAGGAGGGATACAGAATGAAAAAGTTTTCAATTTTTTACAAACTATCAAAAGGTAAGGGAATTAAGATAAAGTAAATTAATAGAAATGAAAAATGAAGAGAAAAGTATAAAACAATAGATGATAATATTCAATTTTAGGCATCTTATGAAATTAATCTTCATGTTTTAGGCACATAACAATAATGTTATATCGAAAGCTGCATTGGCTCAACGTGCATGGCGAGAATGCGAAAGAAATGATAAGGCAAGCTTTTCATATCAATTGGGACAATGTTCACGACGTGAACAAGAGAGATCAAGAGAATTGATTCCACCAAGTACAACTAATACTCCACCGGCTCAGAAAGGAGTAATGTTTACACATCTTACTTCGCCAAGCACATCTTTAGCTTCACAAAGGAATTGATAAAACATTATATTTATTTCTACAAATACATATTCTTATTGTTAAGATTTTATTTTATAAATTTTATTTTGTACACAACAAATATTTGTAGGCCTACCCATGCAAGCCCATTCCTCCATGAGACTAGGAATATCGGTGTTGTTATTCGTGATGAGTGCAATCTTAATATTATCCGCAATTCTAAGGTAAGTATAAATATCAAGTTCAACATATTCTTTTTTCGTAATCTTAATAAATTCTATAAATACATGTTCTTTTTCGTATTCTGAATAAATTTTATTTGTTTTTGGTAGGCAAAGGAAAAGGAAAAGGGCAAGGCAATGTGTAAAGGAAAAGAAAAGGCAACTTCTTTTGACAAAGGAAAGGAAAACACATGTCCAATGGTATATATTCAACATCTTTAAAAAAATATTTATCGAGTAAAACAAAGCAAATCATATTGTTTAAGTGAACATTGATCATGTATATTTTTAAAAATGTAAACTGTGTTGTCAATTTTTTTTGTGTGCTCTTTGTTTTCTGTACACTCAAACAAAGTATTTTTAGCTCTTTTTTACATTTCCTAAAAATAATTGTAACATTTATCAACTCCAAGAAAAACTTTATAACATCTAAGCAAAGGAACAGAGGAACATAGGCATAGAAAATATTTTTAATTTTCTTAAAATCATCATGAGGCAAGAAGAAAGAGAAAACAATTATTAAAAAACAAATTGTTATATCACATGGCATGAAGAGGGAAAATGAAGCAAAATGGAAAAGGAAGAAATGTAAAAATATAAAAATATTCTTAAAATTATTACAAGGCAGGAAGAAAAAGAAATAAAATAGTATACGATAATATTTGTATTTTAGGTATCAATGATATAATGTTCACATTTTAGGCACACAATAACAATGTTATATCAAAAGCTACATTGGCCCAACGTGCACGATGAGAACGGGAAAAATTAAGAGAATGTATTCAACCGAGACAAACTTCTTTAATACCGTGTCGTCGTAGTCGTGCTTGCTTGGAACTAGGAACAAAGGCAACTGAGGATACTCAGTCGGCGCGAAAACGAACAATGGTTGCACATCCTTCCACATGTTCGTTCTCAATACCAAGCACATCTTTAGCTCCACAAAGGAATTGGTAAAAGACTGTGTTTAATTCTTCAAATATATACTCTTACTATTACCATTCTATTTTAATTTACAACCTACCAATATTTGTAGGCCTACTCTTACAACTCCTTCCCTTCAAGAGGATCTATGTACTAATGAGGAATTAGAGGATATGCCTATGAGTCCAATGGTTGGTACTCGAGCACATATAAATTCATGTTGTCATTCTCTTGGCAAGATGGATGTATTATGTCCTTTCTGTTCAGTATTACATTAGATGGATGAAAAATTAGTAAAATCATCTCCAAACCGTCCTCTATTCGGAACATGTTGTTCAAAAGGGAAGGTTAAGCTTCCTCTGCTTATTACACCCCCTTCACTTCTTTAAGCATTATATGATAGGAATGATGATAAATCAAAATCGTTTCGACGTTATACTCGAGTGTACAATGCAACCAATACTTTTACAAGTCTTGGTGCTACATTAGATCCAAGAGTACTTACTGAAAGAGGCCCTACATCATTCACTATCCATGGGGAATTGCGACATCGAACAGGATCACTACTACCACAATCAGGGCAAGATGCAGCTTATGCGCAATTGTACATTTATGACCCTAGTTCAGCTTTAGAAGTTCACAATCGTAGAAATCCTCAATTAAGAAGAGATGTTCTAAAAACTATTCAAGATAGTTTATTACAGGTTAATGCATTCGTTGATAAATTTCGCCAGGCTCATGCAATTTTGAATCAATTAGCCTTGATAGGACGAAATTTGCCTGCTCATCTCCACTATAGTTCATCGACAGATCGACGACGGTATAACCTACCAACTATAGATGAGATTGCAGTTGTAATACCAGGTGATGGAACCAAGGTTAGTGGAATGAGAGATGTTATCTTACATCTACATGGAAATAATGAGCTAATGCAAATCAATGAATGTTACCCAACATATTTGCCATTACATTATGTTTTATTATTTGCACATGGTGAGCTTGGGTGGGAACCTGAGATGAAACTGTGGGATGTTGAATGTGATCGGCCTTCAACTGATCGGCTTACTCAAATGGATTTTTATAATTATCGTTTGTTTGAATGACCCACAGAGTATTCAACAATTTTGAGAGTTGGAAAATTGTTCCAAGAGTTTTTGGTTGATGCTTGGGCTGCAACTGAACAAAATAGGTTGACTTACTACAAGCTTAATCAAGGGAAGATCCGTGCTGAACTTTACCAAGATTTGACAGATATTGATCCAAATGACCTTCAACCCAATCAAATTGGTTAAAGGTTTATTTTGCCATCTTCATTTCCTGGAGGTCCTAGGCACATGTTTGAAATCTTTCAAGACTCAATGGCTATCACACGATACAACCAACATCCAGACATTTTTCTCACCATGACTGCAAATCCTAATTGGCCAGAAATTACTTCGGCATTATTACCGCACCAAAAGCCTATTGATCGTCCTAATTTAATTGCCCGTGTTTTTGAGTTAAAGAGAAAGTGCTTGATGAAGGAGATAGAAACAAACCGAGTGTTTGGTAATAAAGTTGCGCATGTTTTACAATTGAATTCCAAAAGTGAGGCCTTCCTCATATGCATGCGCTTCTATTTCTTAAGGGTCCAGACAAAATTCGGACATGTGCTCAAGTAGACAAATTGGTTTGTGCAGAATTTCCAGATCCAAAAGATGAACCTACGCTTTTTGAAACTATCAAGTGTTGTATGGTACATGGACTGCTCGAAATCCACAAGCACCATGTATGGAAAATGGTAAATGCACTAAGAGATACCCTCGAGCGTTCGCAGAAACAACTACTATGGATCAAGATGAATATCCTATCTATCGTCGTCGCAATAATGGTCAAGCTCATATTGTGAGGGGGAAAGAAGTTGATAACAGAGACATCGTACCATACAATGCATATCTTTCTAAACGTTTCAACTGTCACATAAATGTGGAAGTTTGTGCCGGAATGCGATGTGTCAAGTGTATACACAAGTACATTTATAAGGGTTATGATCGTATAACGATGGTGTTGGGATTGATAAATGAGATCCAACAATATCTTGATGCGAGGTATATTGGACCTCCAGAAGCTGCTTGGCGAATATTTGGTTATCCATTGCATGCAGAGATACCAACAGTTGTACGCTTAGCACTTCATTTACCTGGAATGCACCGCGTTCTTTTTAATCCTGATAAATCATTAGAAGCAATTGTTTCTAGAGCTGGCCAACAAATGTCAACTCTTACTGGTTTTTTTTGCATGTTACGCTTCTATGGAAGATGAATGTCCATTCACTTACCAAGAATTTCCACAACATTTTGTTTGGCTTAATTCAGAAAAGAGATGGAAACCAAGGCAGCAGAGCTATGCAATTGGTAGAATGTACTTTGCTAGCCCTAATTGTGGTGAGAGATTTTATTTGCATTTGCTATTAACTGTTGTCAAAGGACCAAAATCATTTCAATGTTTACGCACGGTCAACAATGTTTTGCATGATACGTTTAAATTAGCATGTGTTGCTAGAGGACTTTTAGAAGATGATGAAGAATGGATACAATGCCTTAAAGAGGCAGCAGTTATGAAAACTGGTTATCAATTAAGGAGATTGCTTACTCTTATTCTTACTCAGTGCTCTCCACTGCAACCATATGTGTTATGGAATCAATTTTCAATGCATATATGTGATGATCTTGCACATAAGATTCGAACATTGTTTGCCATTTCTGAACCAACTGAGGCTCAAATTGAAGACTATGGTCTATATCTTTTGAATCAAATGCTCCAAGAATCAGGAAAAAGTTTAATTGACTTCCCGCCAATGCCACAACCTTCTACAAATTAAAGTGCAGTAGTTGGTAACAGGTTGATATTCAAACATCAACAACTGCATAATGAGGCACAACAGGCAGATGCAGAAATTATTATTGATCGCCTCAACAATGATCAACGAACAGCTTATGATGCAATCACTTCCTCAGTCTTTGAAAATAAAGGAACTATTTTCTTTTTGAAAGGAGGTGCTGGAACAGGGAAAACGTTTTTGTACAATGCGGTTGCATTAAAATGTCGCAGCCTTGGACATATTGTTATTACTGTGGCTTCGTCTGGAATTGCATCATTGTTATTGGTAGGAGGTCGTACTGTTCATTCAACATTTTCCATTCCGTTGGATGTATTGGAAAACTTAATTTGTGGATTTAGCAAGTAATCATTACAAGCAGAATTGTTTAGAGAAACAAAACTTATAATCTGGGATGAAGTTCCTATGCAGCATAGACATTGTGTTGAGGCAGTTGATCGCACACTTCGGGACACTTGTGATAGTGAAAAGCCATTTGGGGGTATCACTGTTCTTCTTGGTGGAGATTTTCGACAAATCTTACCAGTTATAACCAAAGGAGTCCGTGAGCAAATTGTGAATGCATCATTAAGACACTCTTTTCTATAGAAGGATATACATGTTCTGTCTTTAAATTTGAACATGCGCTTGAATCATGCAAATCTTGAAAATGCTAATTTTGCAAAATTCTTGATGGAGGTAATATTTCTTCAAAATTTTTCTCTATTATATGGTTCTTTTAAATTTACGAAATATATTTACGTTTATGTACTTTAATTGATTTTACTTACTATTTTATTTATTTATTTTTATAAATAGATTGAGACCAATCCTCGGGAAATTGTTAAACTTCCATCAACAATACACAAATGCCAAGATCTAAAAGACATAATCTCAGTAGTTTATCCGCAACTGGATGTGGCAATGACATCGACTGCAACATTTTTAACTGAACGTACAATTCTTTCTACACGGAATGATGATGTCAGTGCTATCAATACTGTAGCATTGAATATTTTTCCCGGCAGCACACATACTTATTTGGCAGCAGACAAGATGTCTGAAGATGATGAAATTGATCGTACTATAATAAATAGATATCCTAATGAATATTTAAATTCATTAGATCCTCCTGGGCTACCGGCTTTTAAGGTAGAGTTGAAAATGGGTTGTCCTATAATATTGTTAAGAAATATTGCACCAAAAAATGGACTGTGCAATGGAACAAGATTGATGGTTTCTAAATGCAATACTCACATAGTTGAAGCTCAAATTTTAACTGGAGAAAAATGTGGCAATTTGGTATTCATACCAAAGATATCCTTGACACCGTCTTCTTCAGAAATGCCTTTCCAAATGACAAGACGTCAATTTCCAGTTCGATTGGCATATGCCCTGACCATTAATAAATTTCAAGGGCAATCTGTGAAATTTGTTGGAGTTGATTTGCGCACACCAGTGTTTAGTCATGGGCAATTGTATGTGGCCCTATCTAGATGCACATCCTTTGATCGTATAAGTGTCATCCTTCCCAATGATGAGCCAGATTCTACTACAAACATTGTTTATCCTGAAATTTTGTTATAGTGTTACTTATGGATCAAACCACTTTTGTCAAAAGGTACAATTTATTTATTGATAAATTCGTTTCTATTGATTACAAATTGTTATTTTTAAAATATTTTACTATATGTGTCGACTTTTGTAGGATTGGGTTAAAAAATATATGGAGCTCAAAAATATAAATACAACTAGATTGCTTCGATGGGGATGTAACAAGGTAATTTCAATTTGAAAGTGTTTTGATATATATATATATATATAAATTTTGTTTTGCTAATATACTAACTTTTTTTATTTTCATAAATTAGTAGATTATCGTGCATGCTCCTCACTGGGGATACATACAAGTTGATACGAGGACTTTTTGGAAAGTGATGAGGCGCTCCTAGGATTTCTAAGAAAGAACAAGTTTGAATCTCATATTTATTTTTGTGAAAAGCGTACATATGCTAGCTACGATCCATATTTTGTAAGGTTTCCAATTGATGTGAAATTCATTACTTACAATAGTTTTGTAAAGCCTTTTATCTATGTGAAATTTATAACTAAATTTAGATGTATGTTAGATAATATTCATTTGAATTATTGATTTATGCTATGAGTGTGTTTTTGTAAATGTAACACACTAGGTGATATATGTTTTTTTGTTTTTTTGTTTTTTCTTCCTAATATACTCTTGAATTAGGTTAAACAAAACTAATCATATTTTTATTTGGTTATCTTTTTATCAGGAAGGGTGTTGCATTTTCTTTGTATTACAGAACATTGGCTGGTGTGCTTAATTTGTTATTTGGCATTTTTTTTGTATTGCAGAGCATTGGCTGGTGTGCTTAATTTGTTGTTTATTTTTTTCTATTGCATAGCATTAGCTAGCGTATTTCGTCTAATTTTTTTTATATAAATTTTTATATAGCATTGGCTGGCATATTTCGTCTGATTTTTTTTGTATTGTTTTTTTAAAAAATCTAATTATAAAATTCATTTGAAAATTTAAAACCATACGGATCATCTATTTATATTTTCACCTCAAATTTTTTTTCCCAACAAATTAAATAAATTACATTTTAACTCAATAATTTTATATTCAATTATATTTTCATATATTAATGGTCACCGTGCCTTCACGCACGGGCATACCATAGTATATAGAATGTATCAAAGATACATTTCATTTGAATGGTCTAGATCAATCTTAATCAATATCTAACGGTTGAGATCAATTTTATTCCCGCCTAAACATCTTTCATTGCCACGTCTACCTCCGCCCAAACACATCATACCAAACAGTTATCCTCAACTCTCTCTTTACACGTTCTCTCTCTCACATTCTCATAAAATAGACCTGTTACGTTCTCTCTCTCTCTCTCTACTGTGCTGCACAGACGATCTGAGATGAGATCACATTGTTGAATTCAATCTAGGGCTTTTCGAAACAATGATCTTCAAGGCGCCGTTCTTTGTGTCAACCTTGATCTGATTGATCTTGTACAGATTTGGAGGGAGGTCGAGACGCCAATGAGTCACCCAGATCTGGTTTGTGATGATGATGGGTGGTGGTGAACATACTTGACACCACTGCAACTCTTTGTTCAATGGCTCAAAAATGGCGAAGAGAGAGAGAGAGAGGGTTACAGGGTGGAGAATATCTGGCGAACAGCGTTCCGATCACGCAGCCCATGGCTCAGTAGTTCTTGCCTTGTCGTTGCCCGCGCCGGCGCTGCCACATCGGATTAATAGAAAAAAACAAAAGATTTGGAAATGGGTTTTTTTTTGCTAGCCGAGAAATTGGGGAATGGTGGCTTTTCACAAGGGTGTGGGAGTGAGGGTCTAGAGAGATGGGAAATTGGGTTGAGAGATTCATTACCACTCCTTTCTCTTTATCCATTCAAAAACAGCACCTTTTTATTTTTTACTTTTTATTTTGATGTATATGAAACTGGTATTTGATGAATCTTTTTTCTCTTTGTTTCACTTTTCCAGTTTGATGATGATATACGGATGATGATCCAAGTTAGGCTTTGTTCCATTCAATCGGTGTATCTTCTTCAGCTATTACATTCGAAGGATCTCTGATTTTCAAACCCACATTGAACTTGTGCCTCTGCATTCTACTGCAACCAATGCTCCGGAGCACGAAATATATTGAGAGCACAACTTTTAGGCCACTAGAACTAGATTGGAAAAGTAAACTGAATTTTCAGAATTTAACGTTCAATTTGTTTCAGTAGAAAATGTTTTTTTGCATTTTCTTGTGTTTCCTATGAAAGAGAACATTTTCTATGGTCATAGAAAATGAGTTAATTATAGCGGAAAGTGTTTTATTTCTTTTAAAGGTTAAAAAAACGTTTTTTAGACTATCCCATCTTCGATTTATTATCCATTCAAAGACAACCTTTTTTTATATATAATTTTTATGTATTTGAAACTGGTAGTTGATGAATCTTTTTCTTTTGTTTCACCTTTTCAGGTTGATGATGATCTACGGATGATGATCCAAGTTAGGGCTCTCTTATTTTCTCCCTCTCTTAGCAGCACTGTAATGATGTATTTGGTATTTTTCTCAATAAAATATCTATTTCAAATCTCCCGCTAGTTTTAGCAGCCCATGGTTTTCCAAACCCATTTTTTGGGAGTGGTTGGAGGCTTTTTTGAATTATTTTGAGTTGGTTTCCACGTGGGCTTATCAAGCAACGCCTGTTGATGCAAACTTGGTGGACTTGGACCGTGTTTGGTTGGTTATTATTTGAAAGGTGGTGTCTTGGACCCACGTAACCCACGTTTAATTTAGTAAATGGGTCGGTGGATTTGAGTTAGGCCGTGGGCTGGTGTATGTTGTTCAGCCACGGTTCTACTGAATTGTTTAGTGGGTTGTATAATTGTCCATACATTTATTATAGAGGGGTACTTGGGGATAAAAATGACATATGAACAATCTTGATTTTTATTTATGTCTTCTTTTTGGGGTAACTGCTGATGTGGGGGTGTTTTAATTAGTTATTTCATTAGTTTCTCTTTTTTTGGGGTATAAGATTTATTATATTTCAACGTGTAATATTGTCTTTAATTTATGACTTACCAAGAAAAAAAAATCTCTTAGATCTTCTCTCCGATCTGCTTTAAATGGGTTTCATTTTGAAATATGTTTTGATTTCTGAAAGGTTTCATTGTGTTTGGATTTGAGTTTCTAAGATTTGGGTTTGTGTTTGTGATTTTTAATGTGTTTTAATGAATTTTCATTTAGTTTGAAAATGAATTTAATTTTTGTGATTTTTATTTACACCGTGCCTTCAGGCACGGGCATAGGCTAGTAACATAATATTAGACAAATTTTGTAAATCAGAGATCACAAAACTTGCAGCGGAATAAAATGTTTAGATCATACCTGATTCGATCTAAAACCTCATGGATAAATCACGTGCTTCCAGAATCTAATCAATCAATCCCAGCAGTGGGGTGATATTACAATGGTGAATATCACCCACACAAACCACAGTGCAAAATGACTTGATCGTTGTTTCTTGGGAGAGAGTCAGTTTATGGGTTGAAAAAAAAAACCTACGTTGTTTCTCTCTTTGGTTACCCATAACCATATATCAGATATATATTATATTATTATTATTTATCCATATCAGTTAAAACTGATAATATCTATATCCTGAGTGGTTATCCTAAATAGGTTTGAATTTAATTCAAAACCTATTTGGATAAGATCCAAATAATGTTCAAATGGTCATGCCACATGGGCGCCCATTACTAACAGATTGATAATGCATAAATAGAAGCCAAATAATCACCATTAAAAATTTCTCATAATGAGAAGAAATAAATACTAGACACAAATAATCAAATTTTACATTTAATAAAGATTGATTCACTGAACTTCTAGATAAGAGTGATCAACTGAGTTCTTTTTTTTTTTTTTTTGAGAACATAGAAAATATATATATTAAAAATAACAACATACAAAACAATATCCTAAAAGGCCATACAAACCAACCATACAACAACAACAACAACAACAACAACAACAACAAAAATCATCCAAAAAAACCAACTACAATCCAAGAAAAATCACCAATCTTGACATCAAACCAAACAAGATCTGCTTGTAAGCCTATTACCCAATTCGCCGCTGCCATATTTCAGACATAGCCAAAAGCTAGAGTTGGGGAAAATGTACACCCACAATGATATGGGAGAAGGCTTGAGACATGAGAAAACCATTATGGGCATAGAAAATCCAAAAATCTATGCTTAAAACGGAAGAGAAAACTCTCAAACTCCTATTTCAAACATTAAATCCAGATGTACACTCTAAAATTGCAGATCTATTTATTCATTTTTTTAATCCACCACAATCACAACAAAAAAAAAAAAAAAAAAAACACCTTAAAAAAAAAAAAAAAAAAAAACCTTATAATGAAAAGGAATAAATAATTTAAGAAAAAGTTCCCTAATAAGAAAAAAAATAATCAATTTTAGAAAAAAAAAGTCTAGAATACTGAAACCAATAGGACGCAACTCTCTCTCCCATGAAGTCTCTCTCACTTTTTTGTTTTCTCCAGAGTCCTATGAGAGGGTTTGTGTACAATTTTATAATCGATTTTCTGTGTTCCTAAAGGAACTGATTTAGAAAATCAGTTTACAAGGGGTGGAACTTTGAATGGAGTCTTTATTTGTAAGTGATCCTTTGGATAGAACTCCCCATCTAAGCACTCTTTAATCTGGTCTTGGCTATGAACAGATAGCTTTGGAGTGCAAGCAATAGAACCCAAGTGGTTTTTGTGATCTTCTCCTTCACCATCAAAAGCAATGCAGAGCTTAACACAGTCTTCAAAATCTGAGCATCTAATCCTTTGAAGAAACCAAGTAGCCCTTCCCTTCTCCAAATCATTCGCATTGCACCTGATACTGTTTTTCAGGATCTCAGTCGAGCTTCCTTCTTCCTGTCTTCTTCTGATTCGGCAGCCTGAATCATCACCTTACACCTGTCCACAGACAATTTTATCAATTTTTCTGACAAA